AAGATAAAACATGAATTATATTTAAAACGTAAATGTTAATACAACTGTTTTATATATAATCCCAAACAGATGATATAAAATCCCCTCTACCAAAAAACTTAAATTGGGTAACGCCGGTTTGAATTTTTACAATTGAGCAATTGTCAAAAATCTTCCTTTTTATCAAAAAGTTATTTACCAGGGTGTCTTTGAACTAATGATTGGTACTGAGTTAAAGAATGCACACACATAAAAGATTGCAGCCTTTTCAATACTCATTCAGTGTTAAACCTTTTTTTGATTGGGCATTGGTTTTTTCAATCTTGCTATGAATATGTTGATGTGTGAATTCATAACTGCTTTGAGAGAATGGAAAATTCAAAAATTTTAAACCTCAATCGTAAGCGAAGAATAAGTAATGAAAACTGGATAGAAAAAAATTGTTGATTTAAAATTGAAAATGATTTCACACTTACACAGCTCTGGTGTGTATTGTTGTTTCCAACTTAAAAGGTAGGATAGTTGTGATTTTCATCGAAATTTTTTCTATGCTTCTCGCATCGTGCTTATCTAATATACATATAAAAGACCGATCTTTATGCAATTTTTTGTGTTATATATGATAGGTATGAGAATCGGATGTAAAGTATATTTCATACCACTAGGTGCAGGGGGCGTAGGACCTCCCATACAAACCGAATTTTTCATATTGCACATCCCTGTAAGTGTTCATGGTAGACTACTCGAATATGGTATGGAGATATATGAAAGCATTTGCATATTCATGGATAAAAATTGCGGTTATTGGAAAAAGTTACGTGGCACCTCCCATACAAACCGAATTTTTCATACTGCATATCCCGGAAAATGTTCATGGAAGAGGTCTCGAACTTGGTATGGAGATATATGAAAGCAATCGCATACTCATGGAGATAAATTATAGTTATCGAAAAAGGAGGCGTGGCACTTCCCATAAACATCGAATTTTTCATACTGCATATCTCTGAATGAGTACTGGAACTTGGTAGGTACAAGATATATAAAACACGACTGGTCATGAAGAAAGTTGGGGCTATCGGAAAAAGGGACGTGGCACCTCCCATGGTAAATTACTCGAAAATGGTTTAGAGATAAATGAAATCAATCCCTAGAAGAAAATTTGGGTTATTTGAAAAGGGGACGTGGCGCCTTTCAAACGCACTGAAACTATTACGTATCTTTGTATGCTGAGTTATTTAAGACGGCAAATATGCCTTCTGACAACCACCAAACCGTAATATTAGAAGAAAATGCGTCACTAAAAATCATGAATGTGAACTCTTGGTGAAAATGTTGGACCAAAATGTTCCAATACACGGTTAAAAATTTCGTTTTAATTTTAAACTTTTTGGACTACATATATGACCAAACTACATAAATTCAGTTTCAAATACAAACCTTCTAAATTTAAAAAAAAGAGGGCACATATGTTGGGTTTATAATTTAAACAGTTCGGTTTAAATTTTAAGCCCAAACATTTTCATAATTAAGAATAAAAAATAAAAATAAAATTTCATGCTCCGTCTGATGGGGATTGAACCCGGACAGCCTTAGTAGCAACCAATTGTATCAAGCAGCTTTGCACATTCAGCTACAGCCACGCATGTAAATGTGCTTTCATATGTTGAGTTTGAATCAACACCACATTTCGCTGTGTGCAAACATTTTCTATTCGGGTTTAGATTTTAAACCAAATTTTCTATATATGAAACCTAGAAACTAGAATTAAAACATTTTGGTCTGATTTTTAGACCACGAACTTTTTGGACTAAAATTTAAACCACAATATATTAAAAATTGCTTAAAACTATTGACTGGTTTAAAAAGTAACCTATAAAAGATTTAAAATGGCAGTAGTCCCAGCGCGGTTTAAAAATTAAACCCACATTTTTGACCGTGAACAAAAAATTTATTTTGGGCCAGTTATAATAATTTTGTTGTGGCCTATGGTAAGATTCTCGAGAAAATCGATGAACCCATTGTAACAGATCTGCCTGTTGGGTCTGTAGACACAGCCAATAAGTACCTTGTCAAATTTAGTAAAAATTTCTAAAAATAGATACTCAGTGGTGCTGGAAGGTGGCGATGCACAGTTGAATTTGCACGAGAGACCGTGTCTTACATAAATAGCCACACCTCCTCCATGACCAACTCTATCCAAACGAAAGAGCCTATACCCATTAACGTGAAATAAGTGATCATTATGACACGGAGAAAACCAGGTCTCTGATACACACACCACGTCCACAATCGAATTTTCAAAAATATACCTAAATTCATCAATTTTCCTTGTTAAGCTTTGGGCATTGATGTGGCATACTCTAAGGCCCTTCTTACGGTTACTCAATACGCGAATCATGTTGAAAGTACCGTCTCTGGAATAGATACCACCATTAGGAGTCATGAGCACAAAACAAAATATAAAACAAACAAAACATAACACATTGCGTCTCAGAAGGGCATATCAGTATGAAAAGTAGATATTTGCTAATAGAGTATGTACGATATATCTCAAGTGAGAATGAGGTAGAAGGAAATGGGAAGAAGGAGATGAGTACAAGTACAGAAAGAAGGAAAAAATTGCAAAAATAACAAATAAAATTATAAACTAAAGTCATATTTACATTCTAAAATCGCTCTTAATTTAAAAAATTTATCTATATTCATTCAAAAGTTTGATTACGACGTGCTGGATGCTGTTAACACACGGACATCTTCAATGTTGGACACCTTCACTGCGTTGCATTTAGGTTTAACTCGAACATACACACATCCCCGCATAGAAAAGACAGATGTCAATTGTTGTTTTCTTTTGAGTTGCATTGCGAACTGCAGAACTTCACGGCTATTCTTGGAGAGGCTCTCGTGGACGTCTATTCTCCCGTCTGCTTTGTGCCCAATGTCTCGCAGCGCAGGTCTCTTACTCTGCTTGCAGAAACGTGTTACGGCGCTAAGAAGACGACATCGATCGCTGGCAGAACCTAGCTTAACTATAACTGCCGTAGCTTTGCTGTTGTTGTTGTCATTAATGGGGACGCGGAAAATATCACGTACCGGTGGAGCAATCATGTTGACAGCGCTACACAGCTTGGAGAAGGTATCTCTTAGATTCTCTTCACTCGCCTGCGGGATACCTCTTATGATAGCATCAGACGAGACAAGAGAATTTTGACACTCGTCAAGTTGTGCTTTGAGTGTATGCACTTCAGAGTTTAGCCGCGTAATACGAGAACTCTCATTCCCGTCATTAGGTTTAGACTTTAACGTTTGCACATCAACACGCAGCTGCTCAACGTAAGCGCACACAGCTTCAGCTTTGGCTACGCGGTCTTCGATCTCTTTGATGGCAAATTTTAAGTTTTTAACTTCAGCCGTCAACTCACCAAAACGCTGCATCACTCGCTCTTCGGATCTCTTCATGCACTCGGAAAGTTGTTCGATAATGCTCTCTTTCTGCTGGTCCATCTTTACTTGCATTTGTGAAAACCAGTTATTAGACTGCGGGCTCTCGCTTCTTGTACTCTGAGTTTTTGGAGAGACAGCAGCTTGGCGGGCTGTTTTTGTTCTTGTTAAACTCATCTCGCGAAAACAATATAAAAATTTGTTTGTTTATTTTTATGGTCGGTGTTATGCAGAAATTTTGTTTGGCAAGCTGCGTGCAATTGTTGTTGCAGCAAACTCGGAGAGAGCGAGTTTGGCGACTCTCACAGCAAACTAATTTTGTTTGGTCAAACTGCAGCAAATTCGGTGTTGTCATATACAAAAATTTTAAATTTTGCGCGTTATGTACATCTGAAATTCTCATTTCGTGTTGGCAATAGCCAAGAAAACCATAATGAACGTGCAACCCTGTGCCAAACTCGACATAACCACCTCCGAGCAAACTAAGCAGCCGCCATTTAATTTGGCAAACAAAAGTTTGTCTGCATAACACCGACCTATCTTTTCTTCGCTCTTTTCACAACGAAATTTTCACAATTGTGCGATAGGAAAAACATTAACCATATTGAATATTATGCCAACAACTATAACGTGGACATTTTCTGCCTGAGTGAAACTTTTACTCAGAACGAAAATGATCTCAAGAAAAACATTGTAAACTTTAATATGGTCAAGAAAAACAGAAATGATGGATATGGTGGGGTAGCCATCGGCTTAAGAAAATCCATCAAATTTCGTAAGATTATTTTTGATTCAAGCCACGATATATGCATTGTGCAAACATGCAACCTTCCACGGAACTTAGTGATATGTGCGGTCTACTTTGAGCCCTCCTTAAGCGTGGGAGAGTTCAAAGAAACAATCAATAAACTTTTTGGTACATTGGAAGTGTACAAAAATGTATTGGTATGTGGGGATTTCAATGCCAGAGCACATGAATGGGGCGATTTCTTTGAGTCTAGCAGAGGTAACTGGCTTAAAAACTTTATAAATAACTCCAGCTTTTACTGTCTTAACAATCGATCAATAACCTTTAAAGCGGATCTGCAAGCTACTAGGGGATCAGTCTTGGATCTCACATCACATCATCGGCAAACTGGAAGGTGGTCCCCTGTCAACAGGGTGGCAGCCACCATTACCCAATTGTAATAAGCTTTGACCAGATTGAAACAAAAAAATCCACGTTCCTTGCCAAAAGAAAATTGCTTAGCGATCTAGGCACTGTCCAGCTTGACACAGATATCAAACAAATTGAAAATACTTTAACTAATGAAATTAAAGCGTCCACCTTTGAGATCAAAGATTCTCGACGCCCTAAGTTCTGGTGGCACAAAGGGTTGGAAAAGCTCTTTAGGCTGCAATTGGCCGCGACAAAAAAGTGCAACAAATACCCGACTGCTCAAAACTTAAGAGCTGCGACTGAAGCCAAGGAATATTGGAAAAATGCGGTAGAAGAAGCCAAAAAAGAAAGTTACAACAAGAACCTAAACCTCCTCAATAGTCACCCAAATACTAGAGAAGCATGGAAATTTGTCAAAAATATGAAAGGTGCCGGATCCACTGAGTCTAAGCAACCGTGGGACGATACCAATGACGCTTTGTACCTTCAACATCTAAAAAATCAGGTGAGTGATGAAGACGATACAAAAGAAAAAGTAGAGCGGAAAGTTGCTTGCGCAGACAAAGTTCCTATGTTTGAGGACAACGAGCTCAAAGGTGTACTTAAAAATAAGACTAAAAGGTCCGCGGGTGGGTGTGATCAGATCACATATGAAATGCTTCGATCCTTGCCGGAAACAGCGACAAAAAATTTACTAACTGCACTAAATGATGCCTTCGCCAAGTGTGAAATTAATGACTCTTGGCGTAAGGTAAGAATCGTCCCAATCCCTAAGGCAAACAAAGACCTAAGTGACTATAAGAATTTCCGTCCAATTCCACTTATATCGGTGCTAGTTAAGTCTATAAACCTCATGATTAAAGGCAGACTGGAAGGCTTTTTAAACGACAAAAATATTTATCCAGAGAGATCGTATGCGTATAGGAAAGGAAAGTCTGCGGCAATGTGTATCAATGATTTTCTACATAAAGTTGCCAGCTTAAAACATGCAGGCAAAAAGGCATTAGTTCTGACGCTTGACATAAGCAATGCCTACAACTGTGTTACCCTAGGTAAGCTTCAAAGCCTGCTAGGGAACTTTGAAATACCAGATACGTATATAAAATGGATTATTGATTTCTTTGGCAAAAGAATTCTGCACCTGGGCAAGGAGTCCATAATAATAGAAGATGGCCTGCCACAGGGCAGCTGTCTATCGCCGCTACTCTTTAATTTATATACAAAAGAACTACACAGTATTGGGGACTCAGGGACAGACATCTATCAGTTTGCAGATGACTTTCTGATCCTATCGCACGGAAGCAATTGTGACATGGTGAGACAAAACCTTGAGCAGAAGGCCAAACAATTTTATGATATTTGTACCAAACTAAATTTGTCGTTCAACATACAAAAAACTAAGCTAATGTGCATCGCTAAAAGTAATAGGCAAGATGTACAAATCAAAATAAATGAAATCCCTATTGAACAAGTGAGACAAATTAAATTCATTGGTAGAACTATAAACTCGTCGCTGACGGTAGGCCCGCACTTCCAAAGGTTAGTGAGTGACACAAAGAAAAACGCAAACTTCTTGAAATGTCTTACTCCAGTGAAAACAGGTATAACACCAAAAGTGGCTGTTAACCTATATAAAATCGTCATTAGGTCCAAGGTCGAAGTCGCAAGAACCACGGCTGCAAGGATACCGAAAACAATAAACAAGAAAATTATGACTTTTCAGAATGCCACCTTACGTAGATGTCTAGGCCTTACACCTTCAACTCCAGTACACACTATATATGTTTTAGCAAATGAACTTGAACCTCTGGAGAGGGGTAAATATCTAACTAGTAGGGAGTTAGTGAAGATAATGTTTGACAATCCGACTCTCTTCAACAGCGTAAAAAAGGATTTATACCCAGAATCCAGTTATAGCTTAATATATCACGAATTCAAAAATACTTTCGATAAAATTGATACAGACTGCACCTTCCAAAAAAGCGTAGGTATGACAGTATTGGCGAAACCCGAGCTAAGGAAAAAAGATACGACCAAAGAACAATTTAAGGCAGAATATAATCAAAAGATTGACTTTTACAAGAACAACAAATTTTCTATCTTTGCAACTGATGCTTCAGGGGGCGAAACAGCCATGGGATGTGGAGTATATAATGTCACACATAATCAAAAATTTTTTTTCAAGATCAACTTTAAAACTTCCTCGGCCTTTGCAGAAACATGGGCTATTGCCAAGGCAGTGGACATTGCTGTTGAGGACGGGTTGAAGAACATCGCAATTATCACTGACAGTTTAGTAGCATGCAATTGGATAGAGAAAGAAAAGTCCAATAACTACATAGTAGCTCGCATACACAAACGCCTTAGTGAGGGGGGAATAAACTGTGTCCTAACATGGACTCCGAGCCATGTGGGAATACAAATTAATGAGACTGTGGATGAAATGGCAAAAACAGCCTTAGAAGTTGGCGCTCCTTTAAATGTGAGCCTAACTCCTGAGGAAGCAATCAGAAAAATCAATGAGGAACTAAGGAAAAATTGGAATGATAGGTACCGCCAAACTGCAAGGGAGAAGGGCAAACTGTTTGCTGAATACTTCCCAGAGATTACAAGCGATACGTGGTATATTAAATCCAAAATGGAAGCTAGAGACATAAATACAATAAACAGACTACTCACGGGACACACCTATGACAGAGTATACTTACATAAAATTGGGGCAAGTGAATCTGATCGTTGTCAGAGCTGCCAAGCAACCGACAACTACATCCATGCCATTTTTGAATGTGGGAAACACAACTCCATTAGGGAAAAATATGATATCTTTAACGAATTTGAAAACCTCCATCATATTCTCAAACAACGCGACACCAGAGCACTTATAGAGTTATGTAAATAAAAGTGTACAAAAGAAATGATATAAACAATTAAAAGTAAAAAAGAACAACTCACCAAGAAACAACCAACTCAACACGAAGACAGAATAAGTAGTCAAGCACTTTTCAGTGCTAAAAACAGCATTTTTAAATGCTACATAACATTATAATATGATAACTAAACATAAACAATCACTATAACCAAAACTAAAAATAACAAATTTAAACGGCCGTTCAAAACAACGAAAGAACCATATCGTCACGTTCAAGTAGATCAAAGGCTGTCAACGTTCACACAGCCTTTTCGCTAAAAGTCAACTGCCAGAAGAAATCAATCTCATCGCAACAAACAGGTCTTGAGCCAGAAAACCAGCAAGAAACACAGCAATTAATTCAACTACCATGCAGATTATCGAAAAATATAACGAAACCGATCAACCAGCTCGATAAACTCGGCGGATGAGTATATCAATCAATTTAACACGATCCAATATCAGAATCAAAACGCTTCAATGAGGCTTTCGTTTAAGCAATAAATATATATAATTCTCCAGTTGGCGGCTGGCGCTGAAAAGCACATCAGTTAAAAAATTGCAAATAATACGCAAGAGGCAACACGTAACCAATTAAGAGGAATAATCTGTCAAATCGTAATCACCCTGGCAGTATGAGTGCATAAACTCAGCCACAAAACCGCAAAGTGCAAAAAAAAAATTGTGCGATAAATAAAGGGCTGACCTGGACGGGACCTTGTTTGAGTTATTTAAATTAGTTTACTGTGGAAAACGCGAATCTATGCACAAGATATTGCCGCACTGTCAAAGTACATTTTTTATTTTTTTTTATGGAATAAAATGCGCAGCACTGTCAATAAAAAATATAAAAAATTTGAAAAATCAGGGCTATTTTAGAGTCACTTCAAGCTCGCACTTAATTACACTATAATTGAATGGGCTACAAAACTGCATATCCGAATTTTTGTAAAAATATTATTAACTGAAGGTCATTAGGATGGCACACTCCTATGTTGACCTTTTTTAAGAACAGTTTCCAGCTCTCAAGAAAAACGAAAAAAGTCATATAAAATGCTGCCCAAGAAATAGAAAAGAAATTTTCTTTTAAGTTTTAATTTGTAAAAAATTTTAAAATTGCATTTACCCGTAGAATATGCTATATTTTTATAAAAAATTTATTTTAAATAAACAAAAGGAAAACTGTAAATGCTAAGAATTGAAAGGGTGTGCAATTCAAATGACGAGGTGTGTCCCTGCAAAAAATTGTGCGACTAATCTCTAAAGAGAGTATTCCGGGATTCCTCTCAATCGGGTACAATTGGTCATTAATTAGTCGCAACTAGTCTCATACGGGTACTATTGGAGATCAATTAGTCTCGACTCATCCCTTACGGGTATAATTGGAGATCAATTAGTCCCCGACTCATCCCTAACGGGTACTATTAACGATTTAATGATATGTGCGCACTTAGTCAATGAAATTTCATGTGCGGCGTTGGCACACAGAGAGAGTATTCGCCTAACAAAACTGAGCACCCCAGTTCGAATCGCGGCTGGCGCAAATTTTTATTTTTATTTTTTAAAAGTGACTAGTCGCTTTTTATACCCGTTCGGGTATAAAGGTGAACAATTAGTCTCTTCATAGGACATGCTCGAACAAAAGCGATCAGTTCATTCCATATAAAGAGATCCAAAGTGGTATTAGTCGCATGCTCCTTTGCGATTGATCCCGGAGTCATCCCGGATTAGTCCCATTTTTTGCAGGGGTATATGAGCAGATGTGATCACTACCACAAGTAAACGCGAGCTGAAAGTGAGATTGTGTTAGTGTGCCAATTACGTCCCTGCAAAAAATTTGGCGACTAATCCCTAAAGAGAGTATTCCGAGATTACTCTCAATCGGATACAATTGGGCATTCATTAGTCCCAACTAGTCTCATACGGGTACTAATGGAGGTCAATTAGTTTCGACTCATCCGTTATGGGTATAATTGGAGATCAATTAGTCCCCAACTCATCTCTAACGGGTACTATTAACGATTTAATGATATGTACGCACTTAGTCAATAAAATTTCATGTGCGGCGTTGGTACACAGAGAGAGTATTCGCCTAACAAAACTGAGCACCCCGGTTCGAATCTCAGCTGGCTCAACTTTTTATTTTTATATTTTAAAAGTGACTAGTCGCTTTTTATACTCGCTTGGGTATAAAGGTGAACAATTAGTCTCTTCATAGGACATCCTCGAACAAAAGCGATCAGTTCATCCCATATAAAGAGATCAAAAGTGGTATTAGTCGCATGCGCCTTTTCGATTGCTCCCGGAGTAATCCCGGATTAGTCCCATTTTTCGCAGGGGTTTGAATGATTTTGCGTTCACTTTGTTACGCTCTCGCATGTAATGCTTATAGGGCTTTCGCACGAGGCGATTTTTCAGGCAACTTTTAGTTGAAAGCAAAAATCCCCTCGTCCCAACGGCCTTTCAACTAATCGCTTTCAACAAAATTGAAAACTTTGAGCTCGTTTAACTTTTTTTCCTTGCAACCCTGTGTTTGTTTACATTCTGTATACATACTTGTTTTTTTTTTACTTTTTTTCTTATATTTTATCTTTCAGCTTCGCTAAAAGCACTTCTACCAACGCTTGGCTTACCAAATATACGCCAGTTGATAAAATTTTGCGATTTAAATTCATGTTCAATAATGTAAATAACAATTCGTGTTGAATCGAAATTCGCCTCGTCTGAATAGGGATGGCAACTTTTTCACTTTCAACTTCTCATTCAACTTTTATTGCCTGTAAAATCGCCTCGTGCGAATGCCCTTTTACGCTCTTTAAGCAGGCGCTCACTCTCTGTCCATGCTTGTATATGATATAACTGATGCCAATTTCGTGCCTTTCGCAATAAATTAAGTGCGTTTAGGGAATTAAAACGCAAAAAATTTTTAGTTTAGCGCTTGTTTCGTTCTTTGGGGTGCTTTTCAAGGTAATTTTGTATTAAAAACGTGATTCTATGGTGACATTGTATTTATTTTGTTCATTCATTTATTCATTCATAGAATATTCTGCTAATTAGCTGGGTGTGCGCATTTGTACAGAAGCAAGCAATTGCATGGAAATAAAGCCGCTAGAGAAACCAAGTAAAGTTTTGCTAATTGTTTTACGAATAAAAAAACATTTTGCTAATTAGATAAATTAACTGTGTATAGTTGGAAATATTTACAAGTGAGATTGCGTGATTACTTAAAATATTTGAATATACAGGTTTATATGCAAGAATACCATTAAACACAGCAACACAAATTTGGTGTTTTTTTTTCTTTTGGGAAAATTGCGCTACTTTCAGTGTTTCGGTGCTTTTTTAAATAAAAAAAATTGGCAATAAGGGCAGCCAACTTGGCACAAACCGTGCCATTTTTGGCTCTATTTTACTCCAAACTGCACTTAATTTTTCAATTTGGCACAAAATGTCAAAATGGCACTTTTGAAAAAAGGAAATTTAAATACATTTTTGTGAAATCCTTTCCATGTACTTCTTTTTCTCAACTAAAATTTTCTAATTTCTATAGTGTATACAACTGG